AAAAGAAGAAGAGGAATTAGACTGGAAAATCAAGAGGGAATATACATAGTTTTTAAAGATCAGCATGATTGGATGGTTACATGTAACCCTGGTGGTGGCTGGTTCTGGAATTCTTGTTCTTGTATTAGTCTTGATCATCAAGCGATTCTGTTGTCGACAGAAAGGGCGTAAAGATTCTGTACGGGCTAATAGGGATAGAGCTGAGAATTTGCAGAATGGAATAGCCAGGCTTCATCAAGTGAGTCTTCATCATGTTGATGGAGACGGAGGCAAGAAAACAAATTATTATGTTTTTCGACGTGGGGTTTCATCAGGAAAGCCTTTTTTTAGTTGGGGTGATCATCCTTCCCTTGTCACTGATGCTGTTGAGAATGGATGGTCAAGATTTTCTTTCTCAACCTTCACGTCATCTCCCTCGGTTAAATCTGCCAAGTCCCTGTTAGGTGTGTGTGCAACTGGTGATCAAGAAAATGAAATCCCTGTCGAAATCGGATGGGAAATTTGTGAAGGATCGGCAGATTTCATGCAGAAAATCAGATTGAATCCCGGGTTGAAGAAACTTAATAACTCAAACATAAATTTTTCAAAAGGGGCTATATCTGTTATCAGAACAGCTTTGCCTTTGCCAGGTCCACATTTGGGGAATTCATCTTTCCCACAAGAAGCCTATTTTGAGATCACAATTTTGCCTTCTCCAGAAAACAGTCTTAATCTTGCAGACAACAAATCCGAAGACGATAAAATTAAGCTTATTCACGAGGATTTTAATGCAAAAATTAGTCCGGATTCTTTACCACAAGTTACAAGTACTAATCATAGTCAACGCAAGAACAGAAATGAAGAATCGAAGATTGCTATAAAAGACGATGGAAAAAATGAAGCAATTTTGCTATCTGTTGGGCTAACAGGAGGAGGCCCTCTTCCTCTGAAAGTCCCAGGCAGCTATCTAGGATCAATTGGTTTCAACTCCACTGGTTCTGTCTATCTTGATGGTAAGTTTTTGATCTTTTTGTCATTTTCAGTCATAGTTATAAGCATTTAAGAATCAAAATAAGAACTTTAATGTCCCTCGGATTAGTAGGCATTTTGTGTAGGTGATAAACGGTCAACGGCCCGCCGATCCTCCACCATTTGCCACTGCAATAGGCATACTGACTATTCACAGAAAGTAACATTTTACTTTTTAAATTGTGAAATAGGAATGCATCATCTTATTCCTCTCTTTATGAGAAATGAGATGGTCCACCATGGCCGACTATCCAGCTAATTGCCGAGTTAATAATTATACAATTATAAAAGTTGGCACAGAATTATTTTTATTGACCTAAGACCCATAATTTTTCTATATTACAGATAGTTCTCAAAAGTTAGGTATTTGAATTTTGAGATTGATTAATTGATACTATTACAGGAATTAAACTAGTATACGAATCAGAAAACGAAGATTGGGAAAGAGCAGACAGGGTGATAGGCTGCGGGTACAATCCAAGCCAGAGAAAAGTCTTCTTCACAGTTGATTCACAACTGGTACATGAAATCCACTGCAAGTCTGAGGGGTTTGCCTTTCCACTTTATCCAACATTGGCAGCAAATACAGATATTATCGTTCTAGTTAATCTTGGACAAAGCCTTTTCAAATATGCACCTGCAAATCTGCTAAGAACTCCAAATCCATGTTTCATTGGCCCTATGGCAAATTCTCCTGCCTTAGGATATGAAGATAGCAAGGAGCTTTTTTCTATGGGACGAATCGATTCCATGTACCTACAACGAAATGCCACCAGAAGCAACAATAATACAGTAAATAGTATCAAAGCAATGGAATATGATCAGGAGTCTGAAGGCGATTTGTTTGAAATTGTCTTGGATAGTACTGGAAGATCACCATACACTTATCAATAGTTGGGAAAAATCCTACCACCAGTGAATACAACTCCAAAAAAAGGAAAAACTGCAAGGGAAATTGGATTTTTCGTGTTTGCAGGCATGGAATGTAGCCTTCCAATTTGTGAGAATGTACAGAAGAAGAAGAAAATAGGACAGATTGATTTTCCTGAGGCAGAAATTTTGGAATCATAACTTGCTACCTGCTTCATAATTTTCTTTCCCTTTTTAGTTCGTCATTTGTTAGAAGAATGATTTTCCTCTATGTAAATAGAAGTAAAATACAAAGCACAATTACTAGTTTGCTGGAAAGATATATTAGAAATATTTATAGGGTATGTGAAGTGTCCAGGGGGACAATTAATGACAAATCAGACTTCTCATAAAGTATTCTATATATGTTATCTTCCATTGTTCTGCAGCAAATTATGTTCATGTTTTACAGTGTGTGATTCCAAAGGGTAGGCTGGCTTCTAAATTATGCGATTCGTAAATGTTAAAGAACTTTGAGTGCAATTTTTTATTTCCTTGATAATAACTGATGCTGTCTGAAAACCAGGTTGTCATTAGGGCTGCTGGAGACGAGCTCCTCTGTTGCTCTAATGACCTGAAAAAGGTGACTTTCTCATCTATTTCATTCAGACAAAGAAGTTAGAATTTTAAAACAGAAAAGTTAAATATACGTGAAGAACTATGAGGACAATATGAAAAAACATACTGCAGTTGTTGTGCCATGTGGCAACTTGTTATTTGAGACACTAATTTCTTGTAAATCTGTTGCCTCAGATAATAAGCTAATGTCTTAAATAACAAGCTGTCATATAGGAAGACTACTGTAGTCACTGATTATGAAGAGCATTACTCGTTATGTGCGGAGACACATCTAACATTTGTTCATACATCCACTAAATGAATCTAGGGTACATATTTCCTTTGGCATACTAGCCATTAGAGTGGAATACTCATGATATTTTTTGTACAGTCGTCTAGGGTACAAAAATGGATGCACATACTGAAGACTCGACTA